GCGGCGCTCCGTCACGACAGGAGGCTCTTGCGGCGCTCCGTCACGACAGGAGGCTCTTGCGGCGCTCCGTCATGACAGCAGGCTCTTGCGGCGCTCCGTCACGACAGGAGGCTCTTGCGGCGCTCCATTACGACAGCAGGCTCTTGTGGCGCTCCGTCACGACAGGAGGCTCTTGCGGCGCTCCGTTACGACAGCAGGCTCTTGCGGCGCTCCGTCACGACAGGAGGCTCTTGCGGCGCCCCGTCACGACAGCAGGCTCTTTCTGTGCTCCGTCACGACAGCAGGCTCTTTCGGTGCTCCGTCACGACAGGAGGCTCTTGCGGCGCTCCGTCACGACAGCAGGCTCTTTCGGTGCTCCGTCACGACAGCAGGCTCTTTCGGTGCTCCGTCACGACAGCAGGCTATTGCGGCGCTCCGTCACGACAGGAGGCTCTTGCGGCGCTCCGTCACGACAGGAGGCTCTTGCGGCGCTCCATCACGACAGCTGGCTCTTGCGGCGCTCCGTCACGACAGGAAGCTCTTGCGGCGCACCATCACGACAGCAGGCTCTTGCGGCGCTCCGTCACGACAGGAGGCTCTTGCGGTGCTCCGTCACGACAGGAGGCTCTTGCAGCGCTCCGTCACGACAGGAGGCTCTTGCGGCGCTCCGTCACGACAGCAGGCTCTTGCGGCGCTCCGTCACGACAGGAGGCTCTTACGGCGCTCCGTCACGACAGGAGGCTCTTGCGGCGCTCCGTCACGACAGGAGGCTCTTGCGGCGCTCCGTCACGACAGCAGGCTCTTGCGGCGCTCCTGTTATCTTCATTACTGTAGCTCGTATGCCGGTCAAAGGTACTACTAGCTTGTGGTTCACTGTGTGTGTTGTTTATACATTTCTTTGACAACTGGATTGCTGTTTCCTACACTCTTTGACTTATTATATGGGTAAATTTGCTGATATTCATTTCTGGGTATTCGTTATGGAAACTTTTCGCTACGAGAGGATTCTTCAGTCTGTTCAAAAAGAACAAAAAGTCACAATTCCGTGACTTGAACAATGCACAAATAACGCGCATATAGGAGAGAGAAGCTTATGATGACGTTTCGGTCCGACTTGGACCATTTACAAGTCACACTAACACACGAAGGTGGGGGAACCAGTATTCAATCTGTTCATAAGCGTCTTTATCCATAGCTTGTCAGAGTCAACAAATCATTTGCCACCTGGTGTATGTCCAGATCATATCTCCCTTATCTTTTTTTTTTTTAAGATTTTCAGTTTGAATTTCTTCTCATAATATTTTTTCTTGAGTTCTATTTACAATAACGTTGCAAATCTTTGAATCTTGAGGCGTTTCTTGATCAAGAACGGGCTCCATGTACACGTTGTAGACTCTCCTGAAGGTAAATCTTGGGTTTGCTAACTTTGCATGTGGTGTTGAGGCTGCATCATTGATATGTACTTGTTGAATGCAATGTGTACTCACAAATCTATCTCCTTGTATTTTATATGTGGCATCTTTCTTTTAAAACTATGTTTCGTGTTCGGTCTTCTTAGTCCTTTCTCTGTTGTCATTACTAAGTCCTCATCATGAGTAAGTTATAGTAGCTATAATTCTGGTGTTGCATGCAAAGAGTATGTAATCTTTATTCGGAGCATGTTAACACAATCACATAGGCTGCCTTCATAACCAGTGAACCAGATACTGAGGATCTAACGATTCAAGGGGGGGGGGGCCCATTGTCAGATCAGTATCTAGGTTCAGCCAATGAGAAGGTGGATCTGGCAATTGTGAAGGTGACGTGGTTACCACTCATGTTTTCACCCTTGTCATTTCCATTCTAGAGCTGGTTGAAGCACGGTGATCTGCTTTCTATTGGCTCCGATTTTTGGCTTGATTACCGTGGAGTGCACTAATACCTAATGCTGTACATAGTGTATATAGTGTACATACTGTTGTTATACTTGGTGAAGGATAAAATAATTCACAGTTTTTCTACTGTGTTTATTTTGCTCCCTTTACACCCAGGATGACAGGCCTTTGAGTACCTGGGTTGTAATATCTGTCCACGTTCTTAACTTAATCAGGCCAACTTAGAACCTGTCCTCTCTGGTTGTTATTATCAACTTAACTTTATGCCCCAGAACAGTGATGCATACAGATGAATTACGTACACGAGGGGTTCAAGAACTGGTCGTTGTGAGACTTCTAATCTCTGGTTATTTAATTTATACATCAGCATCCTACATCGTACTGCATCTAGTAAGATGTAGTCTACCCACACTGGGACAACGTTCTGCTCTGTGGAAACAGGAAACCATTTCCCAGTGAAAGTTTGTTCTGAAAAGTGTCTTCATAAACGAACATCGACCAGCATACATTCACTGGCCTCTCGATACACCTGGTGACTATTAAACATCAAGAATTTAAACCTATTGTTAAGACTACAGTTCATTTCTTCTAGCAGTAAAAATATTGTCTTAAAGTTTATTCATTTTAATACTTACATAATACAATCTAAATAAAGTCTACCTCTTGTGGGGACCCATAGACACGGAGATTACAAAAAAGGCTTCCAGGAAAAAAAATGGATGTCTCCCTAAGGCCATTTAGGCGTCAGGAAAACACAACTGCAACTAATGTGACATTTTATTGAAGCCATACTATAACGTCAAATTAGTTGTACCTGTGTTTTACCTAAAGTTTGGGTATTCCATTTCTTCTACCACCCCATAAAAGTATACCGGCGTCCATTATAATCAACAAATAATTCCCCCTGAAGAGAGGACACTGATCTTGGTAATTAAGCACTCTAAATATTGCTCCATTGAGGCACACTTTACCTTTCATACTAATTATATCTTTGAAAGGAGGCCAAGTCACGGCTTCTTTAAACCACAAAGGAAAATTATTTTAATTAATAGGGAAAGGCTATTTGAACATCACGGGAGAGAGAGAGGGAGGTTTTAATCTCAAGAAAGAGGGTTCGTTTTAACCCTAAGAAGCTAGACATCTTGAAGTTTTTTTTTTTTTTTTTTGGGGGGGGGGGGGGGTTCCGTCCCTTTTATACCACTAGGAGGAATCTACGTTAACATGGCCTTTTTTTTTTTACTCGGTTGTAGGAAAACTACTTAAATGGCATAATAAACGACGTTTACATCTGTGAAAAATTGGGACTGAGGGATCAACAGGAAAATAACTTTTATGTACCAGAAAATTCTTGTGAGGAACAGGCACACGTTATAGAACGAGCATTTATATAGACAACATTTCGCTCTATATAGAGCTTTATCAAGTCATATCTTTCCTGAAGCTCTACACTGAGCGAAACGTTGTCTTAAGTGAGGTTAGCTCACAAACCTCTATTTTCTTCCCTATTGTCTGCAGTAAACAGTCAGTTATACCAGAGGTGAGACTGTCATCGTACCTCACCGAGAAGCTGCGAGTGGAGCGATAAGCAGAGCAGGTCAACACATTGCTGCCTTCCGCGTCAGCAAAAACATTTACCATTTCCCTTGAGAAAAACAAAATGTCTTACACAGCGAGTGAACTAAAAGCAATAATCTTTAAGCTCTTGGATCCTGGAATGTTGATACGTATACCCCTGGATCCTGGAATACCACTTTGTATACTACTGGAATATCACTTTGTATACTACTGGAATACCACTTTGAAGCTATTAGTTCCTGGAATACCGCTTTGTATACTACTGGTACCTGGAATCCCACTTTGTATGCTGTTGGATTGTGGAATACCACTTTGTACGTCGGATCCTTCAATACCACTGTTTGAGTCAGAGGATCGAAGCTTTCGCTGGTTTAGTTTACGTAAAGTTTGTCAGGAAACAGAACAAGTGTTTCCTGATGCGGGTCTTGAGTCATATGATGACCCGCCACTAGAGATTTTTGGCCTCCTGATCGAGGCCTTCCGCTGGCTTACCAGGGTTTTGCTCCGGGAAACACTCAACACCATTCGATTCCGCTACGCATAATAAGAATATTATTAAAAGTTTCCAACACCCCGCATAAAAGCTCTAAACCCGATTTCATGTTAATTGAGGAGAGGAAAAAAATGTCTCATATCGAAGCCAGAGATTTAAGAGGAATTTAAAGGAATATATTTTTTTTTAAATCCTGTTGATAATTTTTGGTGAAATATTTACTTTTTGCATTGTTGTTATTATTATTATTATTATTATTATTATTATTATTATTATTATTATTATTTATTATTATTATTATTTTTTATTTTTATTATTATTATTATTATTATTATTATTTTTATTATTATTATTATTATTATTATTATTAATTATTATTATTATTATTATTTATTATTATTATTATTATTATTATTATTATTATTATTTTTATTATTATTATTATTATTATTATTATTATTATTATTATTATTTTTTTTTTTTATTATCATTATTTTATTATTATTGTTATTATTATTATTATTATTATTATTATTATTATTATTATTGTTATTATTATCATCACTATTATTTTTTTTTATTATTAATATTATTATTATTATCATTTTTGTTATTATTATTTATTATTATTATTATTAATATTATTATTATCATTATTATTATTATTATTATTATTATTATTATTATTATTATTATTATTATTATTATTATTATTATTATTATTATAGCTATTATTTTTAATCTTCTTCGTCTTCTTCTTTGTCTTCTTCTTCTTCTTCTTCTCTCTTCTTCTTCTTCTTCTTATTATTATTATTATTATCATTATTATTATTATTATTATTATTATTATATTATTATTATTATTATTATTATTATTATTATTACTATTATTATTATTATTATTATTATTATTATCTACATGTCATTGACCTAATTTGTAATTAACTGCAATTATGGTGAAGCGCTAGACTCGTAGGGAGATCATAGAGTTTAGGAATATTACAGATGATGGTCTCACTTGTATCGGCGAAAGCTGATTTTCGGTGAGGGTGTGAATAGGGGAAATAAAGCCACTGGTCTATCATAAAATATACAATTTAATACATATTTGTATACAAAATCTCATGGGAATATCATTTCAGTATTTACATAGAACTCGAAAACACCAAAGACAAAGTTAGTGATAATATACAACCCATTTGGGACCTCGAGAGGACCCATGTATGGAATACAGAGGTGAATGCTCATAATACCTCCAGGATAGTAGTGAATGCTGTGAGCACCTTCAGAATGGTAGTGAATGCAGTTAGTACCTTTGGAATGGTATTGAATGCAGCTAGTACCTTTGGAATGGTATTGAATGCAGTTAGTACCTTTGGAATGGTATTGAATGCAGTTAGTACCTTTGGAATGATAGTGAATGCAGTTAGTACCTTTGGAATGGTAGTGAATGCAGTTCGTACCTTTGAAATGGTATTGAATGCAGCTAGTACCTGCAAAAATGGTAGTGAATGCAGCTAGTTCGCCCAATGAATGCTGCTAATATCTTTAAAAAGGTAACGAATCCAACTAATTCCGTCAGAAATGGAACTGGATGCTGCAAGTACCATCAGAATGGTAGTGAATGTAGCTAGTTCCTTCAAAAATGGTAGTGAATGCTTCAGGTACCATCAGAATGGTACTTCTTTCTTTCGTTAAAATGATGGTAACATTTGTTGACAGATGTGGACACACGTAGGTATTATTATTCTCATCAATCTCATACACTGATCATTCTCATCAATGTCATACACTGATCATTCTCATCAATGTCATACACCGGTCATTCTCATCAATGTCATACACTAATCATTCTCATCAATGTCATACACTGATCATTCTCATCAATGTCATACACTGATCATTCTCATCAATGTCATACACTAATCATTCTCATCAATGTCATACACTGATCATTCTCATCAATGTCATACACCGGTCATTCTCATCAATGTCATACACTAATCATTCTCATCAATGTCATACACTGATCATTCTCATCAATGTCATACACTGATCATTCTCGTCATTATATGCCATTCCCATCCACGTACATCAGTGACTCTTATCCCCACCGTACGTCAGTCATCATCAGTACCATACATGAATCATTCTCATCAATTGTCATCATTCTTATTACCCCATACATCAAAAACACAAAAAAATGTCATCGCGATACATCAATAATCATCACCACCACAAGCGTCAATCATTATCGTCACTAGACATTAATCATTCTCACAATTAACATACGTTAATCATTTTTTCCACTAGTGTGCATCAATCATTTTCACCTCCACTGTACATTAATCAACAGTCATAAATTAATTACTCTCATGATCAAAAATCATTAATCATTCTTTCATCATTTTCATACATCAATCATTCTAACAACCACTGTATATCAATCATATATATATATATATATATATATATATATATATATATATATATATATATATATATATCTGTGTGTGTGTGTGTGTGTGTGTGTGTGTGTGTGTGTGTGTGTGTGTGTGTGTGTGTGTGTGTGTGTGTGTGTGTGTGTGTGTATAATGCAGAATAGTTTGTTGGAAATGATTGTTTATTGTCGGTGAATCATATACATCAATTACACATATCGGATGTTGCAATCTCAACATATGCGTTACCGAAGTTAGGTGAAGTAAGCTATACTTAGAGCCTTTTATTAGGAAATTTCTCCTAATGAAAGATCCTATTTAGCGCATTGTTAGTTCCTAGTTTTTGTATTCTTTATTATTCCTATCACTTGTAGCAGGTGTTTTGCCAGGTGTATTTTAAAGAACAATTTACCCAGGTGTTCTTATAATTAACAATTTCTCCAGGTGTATTATCACAATGAGAGCTGCTCTGTGTCGTTACTGTCGTGAAGTCTGGTATTGTTGCGACCTTCATGATTCTCAGCGAGACACCCTTATCGGGGTCACAATCATTGGGGTCATCATCATTGGGGTCATTATCACCGGGGTCAACAGCATCAGGGTCATTATCACCGGGGTCAACAGCATCAGGGTCACCATCCCTGGGGTTTACCATCCCTGGGGGTCACCATCATTGGGGTCTTTATCCCTGGGTCAACAGCACCGGGGTCACCATCCCTGGGGGGGTCACCAGCACCGAGATCATTATCACCGGAGCAAATCAATGTGCATCTCAATATTCGACAATCTGCAAGCCTTGAGCAGACGACTAAGACGGCATCATAACAGTAACAAGATTTCCGAACCAGTGGTCACTGGCTCATTTCCAAAACATCCCGCCTTCACAAATAGACTTCGAAGTCAGAGATGAAGAAACCTACTGTGAAGGCGATATGGTTCGAAAATAAAGATACTTAACCACTGTACATGCATCTTAAGATCCTGTCGGTATTGTAAGCCATTATTCTACTGACCTGCTAGAGGCCACATCGGGAGAGGAGCCACAGAACACACGATTCACAGAACGCTGTGGCTGTAACAACATTAGGTTATTCGTCTCTTTAAATCTGCCAGAATCATTGAGATTCACAAGGAGAATTTCCTAACCAAAAATATTACGTTCCAAAAATTCCATTAGGAGACTCGTTTTTATTTTTTTTACGGCAGGAGATTTGATTCCCAGACCCGGGTGATGCGAAAACCCTTTCTCTCACCGCTAAGCAGCAGCAGCTGACAACGCTAAATGTTCGAACCTCCTTCCTCGGAGAGGGAACAGAGATTGTCTCAACCCTGCTTTTGACAATCGTGGGTGACTCGTGACGCTGATAAGTAAATGTTTAAACCATGAGCACGAAAGGCTGAGAAGCGGCTCGGAAGTAGTGGTAGTCTAAAAGTGGTGAATTAGACACCTGTGCAATGCTTTGGTAACTTTTCTGTTTAAACGTTCCGTCAACCAGTGGCTTTCTCAGTCCAATAGAGAGAAGAGTGGTTGAAGATCAGAAAGGAGTTTGTAGTAATCTGTCCCATAGCCTGGAGTCGATGTGATCATTTCATCAGTTCGACTCCAGACTAAGGGACTGATTGCCTCAAACTCCTTCCGATCCTCAATCATTCTTCTCTGTATTGGACTGATGAAGCCACTGGTTGGCGAAACGTTTCCTGATAAAAGTTCGTCTTTTCTTCGCTATAATTGGCAGTCAAGCAGGTTTCTCCACTGTCAAAACATCGCGAAGACGGAAACTCTCAAGGTTAACACACAGTTTGAGCAGACGAGAAGAGACACACATGCAGAGGAAACTCATCTGTACTACGTTTTATGTACTTGAAAAAGGCCCAATGTTGGGCGAAACGTTGTACAAATAAAGAACTCCTCTGCATTTCTTTTTTTTCAGTAATTGCTGGCATTTTTGCCCTTGTCTCCCGGGAGTGAGGGACTCGCTGGGCTGGGATTCAGAGGATAATGCAAAGACTTACAACAGATCAAGTTTTTATCACTCACGCTTTGCTCAAAACGTAGCTTTTTCAAGTCAAATTTACGTGACTTGAAACGCTCTCGTATGAGCGAAACGTCATCTATTAAAGGCTTGGTCTAGTAAACGCGCCTTTTTACTACGTTTCTTGTCGGTATTTTGGGACATGTTACTCGTATTGTCCAATGTAGGACAGTTCTGGACACTGTTTTCTTCCTGGACAAAATTTGACAAGCAATTTATCAGTCATCATAGGGTAAATTATATATTTTTTTAAACGGGTTAAATAACTTGGGAGTAAAATATTTAACCATTTAGAATATAAATTATTTACAATAAACTGATATTCACCTCCGGAAAATACTAATCAATAATTTTTTTCATTAACTGAGAAATCTCAGTTACTGAAGTAAGATATTTTTATTACAACAATTTGTTCCTTGAACTGTAAATCTGGTCTGCACAATTTTTTAATCTCACTTTTTTTTGTCTTTCCCACTCAGCAACAACCTGAGTGGTCAGAGATCGGGTCCTCGCTTAGCGGACGGAGGATCGAGTCCTCACCACTCCTTGAGCTGAATGATTCACACGAAATACAACAATATCACTAGTTCCTTACTTCTTCATTCACACTCATAATTTTCAGAAAGTTTTTCTGTACACTCAAGAGTAACATCACAAGCCACAGAGTTTATTTTATTGACAGACGTGAGTTTGAGCAGATGTACCTTTGTCAAGAAGAGAAACATCCGACGAAATGTTCACTGGACCCGTCTGAGCCATACCAACACCCACCAACAGATATAACAAAATATTCCCACTATGAGCTGGAATGATTTTAGAACTGAGAGGAGGAGTCCCGCCTCACCACTCAGACACAGCTACTGTACTTACATTAACAACAAAAGAGATACTAATGAGTGTGTGTGTGGGAACAGTCAACGCATCCATGAAGGTTGAGGGCTGAGAGGGAGGCCTGAGCCACACCAGGGTACCGTTACCCATTATTTTGGTGGACACGGTTCCTGTACGCCATTTCTCGTATTTATTTTTCTTCTACATTTAAATCATTTTTAACACTTGACGCTTTTGTTTAGTAAATAAAATGACTTTTATAAACAAATCCAAAAAATTTGTAAGATTAATTTTTTCATACAATTTCTGAAAACAAAATATTTTCTACGAATCATTAAAAAATTTCGCACGAGGAAAATTCTGTTCGTGGGGTAACAGAAATTAAACGGAATAAGGGCTAAAGACATGATTTCTATCAACACTGCAGGAACGATGCAAAACGAATAAGAACATAGCGCTGCTGTTGACGCTCACACAGCAGAAGCTAGACGCTCACACGGTGTGAGAAAGACTCAGCTTGGAAGGATCAGGTTCCGTTAGAGAGAAGCAGGTGTGTGACACACAGCAGGAAGAGCTGTACACACAGCAGGAGGGATGCCCAGGTGCCGCAAGCGGATGTTGTAACGCTCAGGCTCCCTGAACCCAGCCGCTGGATAGCGGCGGTCTTGTCACCTGTCAAAGGAGAGAGTAAGCTTGTCAGTCACTGTTGGGATCTGAATCGTCAACAGCACACACTGGTGTTTCTATGACTTCATAATCACGGTAATGTAATATTACTAAATAGTCAGAGTAGTGTTATGACTTAACGTTACATAATTTGTAACGTGAACAAAGATGAAGAAAAAGCCGAATTCCCAGTAGCAAAAGCATTAATGAACATTAATGAACAGCATAAATATGATAAATATTAGTATCTAATTACAACGTAGCGCATTTGAGGAGGTGGTAAGTAGAGTGCCTGCACTCTGAAGGACGACTGTGGATTGGTGCAGTTCGAAAGGTCACTTAAATCTGATGTCCGAACATTTCAGGCAAGACAGCGACTAAATGTGTAATGGTGAATGTTTCTTTCATTTTTAGTCAGTCTGTGTTATTGGGAGACGACCAATGTAAATATATGTGTGGAAGATTTGAAGGTAAAAGACGCCAAGGTCGGTCAAGCAAACTTAACAAGAAATGCTTTGTTATGAGACTAATAATGAGAAGGTAAGTTCAATAATGCATTTTATGCTTTTATGGTTGGATCAAAATGGTTACAGATCTTGTGTTTGCGTGCCAGCGGCATTGCAAGGTGACCTTGCAAGATCAAGCGTACACAAATTCATACTGTGTGTGTTTGTGAGAGTGTGTGTGTGTGTGTGTATGAGTCATTAGACAATCACCCGCTTCCCTTGTTTTATCCATGCTACAGTACACTCATTTAATCCACACCTGTGAGAAAAATCAACACAAAAACACAAGTAGATTTGCAAATCATTGATAATGATTTAAAAAATCATTATCAATGACTGTTTCTGGCATCTCCAGAAAAGGTTGGCAGAAGAACGATAAGAAAGACGCAATCACGGGATGATTGATGAAGGCTCATAATTGGAAAGAAATTAATAATATTATTGTTGGTCATTAACATCAGATACGATGATAAGCGAGAATGATGATGATAACGACAATCACTCATACTGCAGTCCCATCATTCATACTGGAGAATCATCACTCATACAGGCGAGCCATCACTCATGAGTAAATCTCAATATTAGTTTATAAACGGCGAACCAACACAAATTGTGTGAGCTTTAGCTGTTTACACTCACTAGGGACCTGTCATTCCTACTCTTGAAACTGTGAACGACGTGTTTTCCAACATCAGCTCATATGAGCTACGGTTAGAATTTCGTAGACACACACACACACACACACAAAAACATTCTCACCACCATTACATAGTCAGTAGAGTGGGCGTACCTTCAGAGACGAAGACATTGACTGAGGACGGCTTAATGTTGCTGGCGCTGCAGGAGTAGTTGCCGGAGTCCTTGAGGCTGGCGTTGTTGATGGTGAGTCTGGAGGTGGTGAGGTCGTGGTGGTCCATCGTCACTGTGATACCACCTCGAGACTGGTCGTAGTTGATCATCTTGTTATTGTGGTACCAAAAGATGAACTGCGGAGGCGTCAAGCTCTGCAGGAGCACACACACGTCAGTATATATATATATATATATATATATATATATATATATATATATATATATATATATATATATATATATATATATATATATATATATATATATATATATATATATATATATATATATATATATATATATATATATATATATATAAGAGAGAGAGAGAGAGAGAGAGAGAGAGAGAGAGAGAGAGAGAGAGAGAGAGAGAGAGATGGATGATGACGAACTGAAACACATCTTTCAGGAGATGAAGTGAAATGAAAGAGATTCGCCTGAGATGAAGTGAAATAACACACCTGGGCCACAGACACTATTAAACGATACACCATTTAATAGTGAACATATATTTATTTATGTTGACTGAAATCACCAGAGACACTTAAGATAAGATGGAATAAATAAATGCCCACTAATACTCAACTTAAGCAGTTTATTCCGTCTTAAATTCATCCATAAACAACCTCATTGTGTACGAGATTTATGATCCTCTTTTAAATACCTTTCCATCGGATGTAATTCTTTATGACAGAGCTCATTACCTTGAAGCAGGTTTGGTTGATTGGTTAATGGGGTTTAATGGTTGTTAAATATACGAGGGTCTTTAATAAGGTAGCGTGTTATTGTTCACCTCAGCAAAGAGGATTTTGAGCCCTAAAATAGGGATTAAATTCTTAGCATGAAAATTCATAGCATGGCAACAATTCTCGTTGTTTTCATGCTGATAAATGTGGGTTATTCAGGTCGTGGGTTATTCATGTCGTGGGTTATTCATGTCGTGAGTTATTGATGTCGTGGGGTATTGATGTCATAAGTTATTGATGTCGTGGGTTATTTATGTCGTGGGTTATTCATGTCGTGAGTTATTGATGTCGTGGGTTATTTATGTTGTGGGTTATTGATGTCGTGAGTTATTGATGTCGTGGGTCATTTATGTCGTGGGTTATTCATGTCGTGAGTTATTGATGTCGTGGGTTATTTATGTCGTGGGTTATTCATGTCGTGAGTTAGTGATCTCGTGGGTTATTTATGTCGGGGTTATTCATGTCGTGAGTTATTGATGTCGTGGGGTATTGATGTCATAAGTTATTGATGTCGTGGGTTATTTATGTCGTGGGTTATTCATGTCGTGAGTTATTGATGTCGTGGGTTATTTATGTTGTGGGTTATTGATGTCGTGAGTTATTGATGTCGTGGGTCATTTATGTCGTGGGTTATTCATGTCGTGAGTTATTGATGTCGTGGGTTATTTATGTCGTGGGTTATTCATGTCGTGAGTTAGTGATCTCGTGGGTTATTTATGTCGTGGGTTATTCATGTCGTGAGTTGTTGATGTCGTGGGATATTGATGTCGTGGATTATTTATGTCGTAGGTTATTCATGTCGTGAGTTATTGATGTCGTGGGACATTGATGTCGTAAGTTATTGATGTCTTAGGTTATTGATGTCGTGGGTTATTGATGTCGTGGGTTATTGATGTCGTGGGACATTGATGTCGTAAGTTATTGATAACGTAGGTTACTGATGTCGTAGGTTATTTATGTCATGGGTTATTGATGTCGTAGGTTATTGATGTCGTGGGTTATTCACGTACTCATCCGTAGAAGATAAGTTTCCCCTCGAAGGAAAAGACACTTTACAGAACAAGCTTTAATTGGGACAACGTTTCCCTTAGTATAAAGTTTTATCATTTCATGAGTTGACAAAGCTCTATATAGAGCGTAACGTTGTTCCACTTAAAGCTCGTTATGAATTTCAATAATGCCGGCGGTGCGCCACTAGAGAATGATAGAGAGACGATTGGTAAAGAGTAAATCTTCAATATAAATAACATTTAGCTCTATGAAGAGCTTTAACAAGTCACGATAAAGCTCTTTACAGAGGCGAAACGCGATAAGGAAGATTCGCTCTGCTTCAAGAGCATTTCTAACAAAACCTTTGGTAATACCTGCCGTTTCCTTCTTCACGCCGTTCAGGTACACGTCTCGCCTTGTTTATACCACCAAGTTTCTGTGCACAAGAAATTCACCCCCCCCCCCAAATATGCTCCGAGATAGACGTCAGGGTGAAGGGTAGTCTCAGGGGTCCATGATGCTGGCAGACACCCATGGCAGAGCTGTCAATATCTCCCTGCAGCTTCTTATGAAAAATGCGGCATTAACGTACAGGGATTTGCTAATGGTTGGCTCCCTCTTTTGTGCTTCCCATGCGTCTGAGAGGCATTTTTTTTAATTACTTCCTCCTTAGTCTTTCTGTTGATGATGTGTAGCTAATGTTGGTCTGATTTGGTTCCTCTCTTGTTGATGGTAGCTAGGTACTCGATGCTGGTCTGTTTTGATCTTTATTTTGATGTTAGTTAGCAAGTTCAGCTTAGCATGTTAAGTCTTATGCAGTATCTCCCTGTAGGTATTTAGATAGTTGAATCTAGTCAGAATACTCCAGTATTAAATCATTAAAACCTGCTTGCGAATTATTTAAGTCTATGTATACTGTTCCATAATTGTACACCGAAAGTTTACTTTAATCCCAATTTTAGGGTTTACGGTATTCATGTGATTTAAAGGTGAAATGAAGACACGATCAACTTGGTACACCCAAGAGTCTTAATACAGTGTAAACCAACGAGTGAAAGCGAATGGTTTTAAAAATGCGGTATTAGTATAGATATTATTAAAGAATTAACAAATGTTTCACGATTGCTGTCCAAGTTTATAATAATGAAATATTTAGCAGAGTATTCCTATCGAATGACCCTTGATAGTGTGTTGCTTGTAAAGAAAATTTGGAAATTTTCTCCTCACGTTTCTTTCAGTTGTATGATAACCCATTCAGTGTTTTTTTTAAGTCTTCTCTCTCATCAGTCGACTCCCTAAAAAAATGTGATATCACATCTAATGATGTTGAAATTCAAAGCTCAACTCATTCTAGCTTCCAGAGCACTAACAGAAACTCTCCTCGTATCAATATGATGTCCTGATGGTGAAAAATATGGAAGACTTGATAGAATCTGAACAATCGAATGTCGAGTTGAAAGAAATATTCTAAAAATTATTGAGGAAAAAATGAGATGGAATATTGTGGTGTTGATAAAGAGTAGCAGAGAGCGAGCTTGTAAGGCACCATCACTCTATTGTAAACACAATAACAATGACTCTTTTCCCCATATTTTATAATAATCTCTGTTGCCCTTTAGAGAAGAATGGCACCAACCAACCTTTATGGTCCGGCCTCCAGTTTTAATTAAGACTTGAGGCAAACAGACAAGAGTGAAAGTGCTTTTTAATTGGGCTTCCAGCGTGTGGAGTATTGATCAGCCGCAGCAAGATGACGATTGGCTCCTTGCTTAAACAAAAACAGGGTTATCAAAACCACGCTTCCATTTCTCACGGGTTTGCAGTAAAATACAATGGATACTATCAAACCACGAATAAAATTTAAAACAAATGAGCATTCTCGATAATATCCAGTAACCAATGTCGGTAATGATCCCGAGTAATTACATAAAATGTTGCATAGATACAGGTGTTCACTTGGCCCCCCTTCCATTTACATTACCATTGCGTTGGTCTTGACTGCCAGAGGACACTGCCATGACGCTCCCACAACGCCTCCCAATTTACCAAATGACAAATAATTTCTTCAATGTCATATTAACCTTCACGTCAATTATGTCACTGCTAGCGAATGTTGTGTTTATTCCCTGTCTCAGGTGCTCTCGCTACCCTTCCACATATTAATATATTTGCGCCCATGCTGTGCTCATTTTCATAATTATGCTTTCTAAGTAATATTCATTTGTATTTGTGTTTCATGATTCACTGTTGCTCTCTAAACTTTATTTAACTTTGCTAATCTAAGATATTCAACTCATTATGAACCAATATTCTCAGTTCGGGTGTGTGTGTGTGTGTGTGTGTGTGTGTGTGTGTGTGTGTGTGTGTGTGTGTGTGTTCAAGTAATTACAATTAATTTCTTGTTATATATCATTATTTAGATAAGAGAGAGAAACATTAAGCAAATTCATATACGGTTACTTTTAGGTTCACTACAGATGGTTTGGTATTACTTAAAACACACACACACACACACACACACACACACGCACACACACACACACACACACACACACACACACACACACACACACACACACACACACACACACACACGCACACATTCACACACGCTAACACTTTTAAGGTCGGTAATTCATCTCATTTTTTTCAGTTGTTAGTGGTCACTAACCTCACTTGGTTAATTACGTCTACCAATTCCGCATTCAGCTGCCTCTCGTCATGTTGATTAACAGCCTGGCATACTTCTCTAGAGGAATTCAAGCTCTGTTTTGCTTTTACAGTGACATTTTCTATCTTAATATGAACCAGCATTAAATTGCGGGGAATTTTTGTTGCAAATGGGTATTAATTACGAATCACGTGGACAGAAGGACACACGCATTGTTGCTGTTATCCGTGTGTGTTGTGACATGCTAAGAGTATGTTATATTATATCCGGCGTATGTTATACACCCATATAGGCATGCCCTCCCAACCAGCGAACCACGTTCTAAGGGTTTAACGAGCAGGGGCCTCGTCGTTATGTTAGTACCTTGGTTCAATCAGCCAATCACAAGCCCGATAAATTTGTGAGCAATGTGGTACACTCGTGAATCCTTCTTGGCAGATTTACCTGTACATAGCTATATATATATATATATATATATATATATATATATATATATATATATATATATATATATATATATATATATATATATATATATATATATATATAAAATATATATATATATATGTAGTGCCGAATAGGCAGAACTTGCGATCTTGGCTTAAATAGCAACGCTAATCTTGCCATATAGGACAAGTGAAAATTTGTGTATGCAATAATTTCGCCAAAACCATTCTGAACCTAACGAAAAAAATATATTTGATTGTGTTTGTTTAGTACTAAATTATTGTAAACGTATTTAAAAT